TGCAGTACCACTAGCAGTGTAAGAGTGTTCCAATCTCTCCACATCCATGCCAGCATTTGTTATTTTGGGACTTTTTGATAGAGGCCATTCTCACTGGAGTTAGGTGATATCTCATTGTAGTTTTGATTTGCATTTCCCTAATGATTAGAGATGTTGAGCACTTTTTTTTTTTTGAGGGTACAAACATTATAGTTACACTTTATGTCTTTACCTCACCCAAATGCGGGTTAAAGGCATGCCCTTCCCTCCCTTTATGTTGAGCACTTTTTTATATCTTTTCTGGCCATTAGTCTGTCTTCTTTTGAAAAGTTTCTGTTCATGTCCTTTGCCCATTTATTGATGGGGTTGTTTGATTTTTTCTTGTTAATTTTCTTAAGTTCTGTATAAATTCTTGTTATCAGCCCTGTATCGGCTGTGTAGAAAGTAAATATTTTCTCCCATTCTATAGGTTGTCTATTCACTCTAATGATAATTTGCTTGGCTGTGCAGAAGCTTTTTAATTTGATCAGGTCCCATTTGTTTATTTTTGTTGCTGCTATGATTGCTTTGGGGGTCTTCTTCAAAAATTCTTTACCTAGGATGATGTCTAAATGAGTCTTCCCAACATTTTCTTCCAGAATTCTTAAGGTTTTGTGCCTTAAGTTTAAGTCTGTTATCCAGTGTGAGTTAATTTTTGTGAGAGGTGAGAGGTAGGGATCCAGTTTCAATCTTCTACATGTGGATATCCAGTTTTCCCAGCACAATTTACTGAATAGAGATTCTTTTCCCCAATGTATACTTTTGTCTGCTTTGTCAAAAATTAGATGACAATATCAGGATGATTTTATATGCGGGATCTCCATCCTATTCCAAAGGTCTATATCTCTGTTCTTGTGCCAGTACCATGCTGTTTTGGTTACTATAGCCTTGTAGTAAAGTTTGAAGTCTGGCAAACTGATGCCTCCCAATTTGTTCCTTTTGCTTAAGATTGTTTTGGCTGGTTCCAGACAAAGCGTGGAATTATTTTTTCTAAATCTGTAAAGAATAGTGGTGGTATTTTGATAGGGATTGCATTAATTCTGTAGATCACTTTAGGTAGTATGGACATTTTAACAATATTGATTATTTGAAGAATTTTACAAGCTTATATACGAAACATAAATTGTCCAAGAGTAATCAAAATGTTCCCAAAGAATAAGAGGATGGAGTGAGTGAAATATCTGACTTATAAGATAAAGTCTTATTTTACAGCAATAATGGTTAAGCTAATTTGCAGTAGTTCAGATACACACAAACTAACCAAGAGAACAGAACCTAGAACTCCCTAACCATATGTATAATAGAATCTTGATATATAACAGAGTTTGCCATGCAGGTCACTGAGGAAAGAAGGACTACGTACTCAATGAAAAGTACTGAGACAATTGACTGTTCATATTGGAGGGAAAATACGAAGGGGATATATTGCTGTATAACAAATTACCAAATATTAGCAGCATGAAACAACATAGTATTATTATCTCACAGTTTTCACAGGAAAGGAGTCCAGGCATGGATTACATGGATCTTCTTTACAAGGTCTTACCAGGGTGAAATAAATGTTTTGGCCAGCAAGAGATGTGATTTCATTTGAGACTGTAAAACCTCTTCCAAACTCATTTGTTGCTGGAAAAATTTCTGTGGTTGTAGGATGGAGCCCCTCTGCTCCTAAAGGCCACCCACTGTTCCTTGCTATATCTGCCTCTCTACAGCATGGAGGAATGTATCTTCAAGGCCAACCCGAGAGTGTCTCTTTTGATTGTTTTTCTCTCATTTCTAGATCTTCTTTTAAAAGGATTCCATGAGTTAGTCAGGCCCACCAAGAGTAATCTCCCTTTTGATTAACTTAAAGTCAACTGATCAGAGATCTTAATTGCATCTGTAACAGTGCTTCACCTTTTCCATATACTATAACCTAATCATGGGATTGATATCCCATCATATTCACAGATCTTGCTTACACTCAAGGGGAGAGAATAATATAAGTTATTTATTCCAGGAGATTGGAATCTTGTAGGCCATTTTATAATTGTTCCCACCACACATATATACTTCATAGTATCTATAAAAGTCAATTCACAAAATAGAAAAGTTTTGAAGAAAATATCTTTATGATCTTGAATCATGGACAATGAAAAAATGCTACTCATAAAACAATAGACTAGCAAGTTCTACTCCGGTAAAATTAATAATTTCTTCTTATCATATGATCTAACAAAGAAAATTTAAGAAAAGAGCTATAAACTTCAAACTATTGCAACACATATAATGTAATGGATTAATATTCAAAATATATAAAGCTGATCTCAAATAGTTACCCAGGCCCAATGGTGTATTATGAGTGAGCTACAGGTAGTACAAAGATACTGATCTTAGCTCTCTGTGTGGCAGGGTAGTCCTGGGCAAAACAAAACAAAACTCCCATTACTAGAAACCACATCTGTTTGCTCTCATTATGTCTTACAAATATTATTAATATTTTCAATGTGTGCTATAATGGAAAAATGTTGGAAATCAATGATATAAAGAATTCTTATAATCAATAATAAGAAGACAAACAGTTCAAGAGAAAAATTACCAAAATACAAATAGTTGTGTCACAGAAAAAAAGCACAGATGACAAATAAACATATAAAAAAATAGGAACACTCATACACTGCTGGTGGGACTACAAACTAGTACAGCCTCTGTGGAAAGTAATATGGAGTACCTCAAAGGGCTAAAAGTAGAACTACCATTTGATCCAGCAATCTCATTACTGGGTATCTATTCAAATGAAAAAAAGACGTTCTATAAAAAAGACATCTGCACTAGAATGTTTATAGTAGCACAATTCACAATTGCAAAGATGTGGAAACAACCCAAGTGCCCATCAATACATGAGTGACTTAATAAAATGTGGTATATGTATACCACGGAATACTGCTAAGCCACGAGAAACAGTGATGATCTAGCGCCTCTTGTATTATTTTGGATAGAGCTGGAGCCCATTCTACTAAGTAAAATATCAGAAGGATGGAAAAACAAGCACCACATGTACTCACCATCAAATTGATATTAATTGAGCTACACTTATGTGCACATATAGTAGTAACATTCATTGGGTGTTGAGCAGATGGGGGGGCAATGGGTATATTCACACCTAATGGGTGTGGTACACACCATTTGGGGGATGGACACACTTGAATCTCTGACTTGGGTGGGGCAAAAGCAATATATGTGACCTAAACATTTGTACCTCCGTAATATGCTGAAACAAAAATAAATAAATATATGAATGAATAAATAAATAAATATTTGATTCTGATGTAAAAAACAATAAAAAGACATGCAACTCAATTAGTAATGAAGAAAATGCAAAAGGAATCACTTTTACACCCATTAGATTGGTAGAAATAAAGAAATCTAATGTACAAAACTGTGAACATTTGAATTGGTAGAACAATTTTGGAAAAGCATATGACACTATATTATGAAATGAATATTTGCTTTATTACCTAGCAAGTATATCAACTACAGTTATACCTGAAAATGTGAACCAGAATGTGTTTAATATTGCTCATATCCTAGCTCTCTGGGAGGCCAAGGCGGGTGGATCGCTCAAGGTCAGGAGTTCGAAACCAGCCTGAGCAAGAGTGAGACCCCCGTCTCTACTAAAATAGAAAGAAATTATCTGGACAACTAAAAAAATATATATATATATATATATATATATATATATATATATTGCTCATATCCATGCTGCTTATAAAAGCAATAAAAAAAGAAAAAGAAAATAGGAAACAATGTAAATTCTTATTGACAGGTAATTATTAATTGAAAGTAGTTATATTTAATTCTAAGTAGAACAAAGAAACATTTTTTAAAAATATTATGACCATGTGAAATATGTAATTCAATTTTTTTACACATGCTATATTTAAATTTGGCCAAAACAATTGCTTTAGTCAATGCTAATATAGAAACATTAAAAAAATGAGAAATAAGTATAGCGAAAATTTATTTTTGTTATGTAGCTCCAGAATGCTAGGATATAAAACAATTTTTAAATAATTTTTAATAATAAAGTATATATATATATATATATATATATGAGATATATAGTTATGGGTATTACTAAAGAGAGATCTTCATTTATTCTCTAGCAATATTGGTAACCCCAGGCATTCATTTTCTTTATCAGGTAATGAATAACGCTTTATTATAAATTATTTTTTTGCACAAAATATGACTATATATAGGACTGTATTTGTGTAGTCTTTCTGCTGATTCTTAGTTATATTAAACCCCTAATTTAAGAGTTGCATTTAACTAAATTTGAATTTTTTGTAGGTGTATAAACAATGTATGAATAGATCAGTGTATTTTAGTCAGAAATAATGCTGAATTATATATCATGGTATAATGTGTCTCTCAAAGTATTGCGCCCCCCGTATTGCTGACACATTTTAACATATTTGAGGGATTCTCTTACCAAAGAATATACAAAAATAAACTTGATACCATTAAATCTGGTGATCTAGATTCAAATTTAGCTGTAGCATTTTTAAGGTTTACTACTTAATGGAAATAGCATTGCTCTGGTTTTCCATGTTAACTTTATAAAAAGTATATGCAAATGTGTTGAAAACCACTCTCCACCTACATGTACTTTTTATAAAACCTTCTCAAAGTAGATTTGCATTAATCATGCTTCAAAAGCTTCAAATAAAAATATTCTATAAACAGAAGCCGTGCCATTTCATTGAAAACTTAATGCAGAAACTACAATACAGCAAGGAAAAACCATGTGATAATATAATGATTGAACTTTAGGAATATTCTGACATGACTCGCTGCCATGCTATGAAATTCATATGGATAGGTAGATAGATAGTCTGATGGGCATTTAGACATTTTGAATGTTTTTCTGCTATTGCTTTCTTCATATTTTTATTACATAATGCAACATATTTAAGGAGTATGTTTCTGTTTATTGCTAGGTTATTCAGATTAATTTTGAAGAATTTGACCTGGAGATTGGCTATGATACCTTGACAATTGGTGATGGGGGCGAAGTTGGAGACCCCAGGACTGTGCTTCAAGTGTAAGTTCTCAATGTTTCATTTTTTTCTTAGCCTATCAGATATTTTTGAAATTGTGCTCTCAAATTATTTTTGACATTGATTCCTCCCACTACCAACTACAGAAAAGAGCATGGTAACTTAGTTATTATCATCAACTTCCATATAATCTATTTGTTTGGTCCTTCTTCAATGAGGCTTAAAGCACTTTGTCTGTCTTAGTTCTGTTTTGGAAACTATGGCAAAATAAAATAACCTGGATGGCTTATAAAAAACAGAAATTTATTTCTTACAGTTCTATAGAATGTGAAATCCTAGATCAAAGTATCAGTAGATTTGCTGTCTGATGAGGACTTGCTCTTATGTAACCTTATATTCTCAAAGTAGGGTCTTTTTATGTCACCAATGCATTGCAAATACTTTGTGCACTTTTAAAAATGTAGATTTCTGGGACCCCAAACCCTGATTACTGAATTAGCATCTCTGGGATATGGACCCAGCAATCTACATTTTAACGAACTCACCACATGGTCCTTATGCATGCCAAAGTTTGAAAACTACTGATATAAATATTTAAAAAACTATTTTGGCATAAACGACTCCTAGAGGTAATGCCATTATCATGTGTGTATTTCTTACTGTATAAATTGACGTTTCTTTTCCTTTTTTTCCTTCTCTTCTCTCCTTTCCTTTTATTTCTTTTTTAATTTTACAAGAAGATCTCCTAGTACTATTATTCCAGAATCCTGTAAAAGATGAGGGTTAACCTCATAGTTACACATAGTATATTTTATGCCTCAAGATTAGTATCTTTTTGTTCTTATCTTTCTAGGAAAATAAAACAAAAAAAAAATCCAACAAAAAGCACTACTCTTCTTACTTATCTTCATGCACTCATGACTTCAACTTCAACCTTTCTCTTCTCTCTGCAGCATGGATATCATTGATCAACAAAATTTGGTTGTCTATCTCTGTGCTAATACATCTTCTTTTGTGCTTCCTAAGGTGTGATGGACAAAAGGGCCATGCTTTACAGGCTTTACATGTTCAGTTATGTCGCTCATATTTTTTGTAGCTTCATTTTTAACACTTCTCCTAAAAATGATCAGCATTTTTGTCACCATGTTGAGCCTGTTAGGCAAAGCACCACACCGAACTGATATATTCCAGAAATAATCGATAGTTCCTCCTAGATATCTTTATAGTTTTATAGCTGAAAGCCTGAATTTCATTATACCATAAAATTGTATTGGAAATTGGCAACCATAGAACTAATCTGATCATTAAACATGTTCCTTTCTTGTTGTTTGTCAGGTACAGTATTTTAAAGAACCAAAAATTATATATAAAAATCTGAATTTGTGGTTTCTTTTGACAAACTGGCCTGGATAATCACATGGCAAAAGTTGGCTGGAACCATCTTCTGCCTCCTTTACAGAAGGCATAGATTTTCCATGGCCACTAATCCCTGTATCATTTTGCACTTGTGCTTTTAAGATTCTTTGCTCTGTGTTCCTGGACCTATAGCTTTTTAGGTGTGTGGCATCTGACATAACACAAAATTTGGATTGCTTTAGACTTAAATTATTGTATTATTTTCAAAATAAACATTTGTCTGTTTATCTGACACTTTATAAAAGTTGAAGTTTCTTGGACATTAATAATATGTAGCATATTTGGTGATTCATCCCTACACATTTGAGACCTCAGTTTTTACACATTTGGGATAGATCCCATCATATGTACTTTAGAAATAAGATTGTAAAACATGTATTCGATAGTACATTTTCCCCTTATTCTTTTTAAGAGAGAGAATTGGATTTCAGGTTTAGATTCTTCGAAACATGGACAGGAAAAGGGAGGTTTGCTAGTCAATTGAACAAAAAATATTTCTTAAGATGCTTTTCTCGTATATCTGCCACAAAACAAAAACTTAGTATCTCAGTGTTGGATCAATTATTAGAAATCATCTGTATACCTAACATCCCAGGTCATAGATGCTATGCCCTCCTTTCACCATTGCTTTAAAAAAGGATCATTGAGCTAATTGGTATCATACAATTATAAAGATTGTAAAGACATATATCTTTATAGTAATTCAATAAGACACAGAAGTAAGATGTCAAAATTGTCTTAAATACTAAACTATTAGAACTTGTAAAATATAAAGAGTACATTTATTGGGATTAGGCAGTGACCTGTACAATCCCTGATATTAAAAATAATAATAATAATGTGTTTGAACCATATATTTTAAGCTATTAGAATGTTAGAAACCTATGAAGACAATTGTGAATTCTGATATACCAGTTGATACTGTTTTTATAGAAAAAGTTATTGTATAAATGACGTAGAATGGCCATTAAATATTACTTTTCAAAAGAATACCAAGTAATCAAATGGATGTCCCTACACCATGAAATTCAAAGTTTCCATTGCATCTCCAGTGGGGATTAAAAATTAAAGCTTCATTCTGCAACCATAAACTTTTATACTGTTCATTCAATAGATGTAAATTGGCCCCTTAGTTAGAGTGTGTGAGACCTAGGAGAGAAAAAGAAAAATATATATATTTAAATAATCATTAGACTATAAGAATAGCACACATAGATATAGACCATTATTGTAATTATATATATTCTGCATTTTGCAAAATTCAGAGCAAGGGTACAGTGGCCAATGCCTATAATCCCAGCATTTTGGAGGCCAAGGCAGGAGGATCACTTGAGTCCAGAAGTTTGAGACTAGACTGGGCAACAGAGTGAGACCCCATTGCTACAAAGAAAATACAAAAAATTGCTGGGTGTGGTGGTGTACACCTGTAGTCCCCTACTCAGGATCCTGAGGTGGGATGATCTCTTGAGTCCAAGAGTTTGCAGTCACAGTGAGCTATGTGTGTGCCTCTGTAGTCAACCCTGGGTGACAGTGAGACCCAGTCTCAAAAGCAAAATAAAACAAACAAACAAAAACAACCCTCCAAATAAAAAGAGATAGGGCAATGGTCTTTATTGTACAATTTTTAGATAGTGAAAGGAAAACCCTTATCTATTTTAAATATGGCCATTCATTATCTAAAAACTGAATTCTTATTAAATGAACCTCTGTGTAAGCATATTACAATCCTTTACTTTCTTCATACCTGTTTCTTATAGAGTCTTGTACCCATTCTCATTTGACCTCAATCACCTCAAAAAATCTACTAAAATTGTTATTAGTGGTTTTGTCATCTTTTTAAAAGTTATCATCATCAAGTGCAAAAGATGCCTCTGCTATCTTTTATATTGGAGAATAGTAATAGGGATATTTTAAAATGAATTTTTAAAATTCTATATTAAATGAATGGTAGCTAGCAGTAGCTGAGGCTAGAAGCATCAGATAATTAACTAAAAGAAATGGGCCTACAACTGATTTTTTGCAGAAGTTGATGCCAAGTTTAGGTAAACAACATAAGACCAGGAAAAGAACAAGAATGTTGATGGGAAGTATCTTTACATTACAAATGAATAGTCAAATGGAAGCTGTATCTTACTGACTAAAACCGAGTTATTTTCTGCTGCTAAGAAAATGGAAGAAAACAGTGTCACATTTTTCGTGTTCTCACATTACTGTTATCAGATTGTCTGCTCCATCACTTGTTATATTTCCCTCACTCTGAGGAGTTATATATCTTTTTAAAAAACCTAAATGATTCCTAATTTTGTTCTACATTCCTTTGTCCATAACCAGGGAATGCGTTTCTGAAACTTGCTTTTCTGTCTACAAACAAAATTATACTTCTTTGAAAATATATCTCTTTTACTTGAGTAAGGATGACTATGACCAAATTTAGCTTGTGCCCATCTCCTAAAGGTGTTCAAATAGAAGCTGTCTGAGTAGCTAACCGAGATTTTACAGACTTGGAATTAGATCAAAAGTTCCTTTGAATTCGTAAGACTCTGTGATAGCAGAATTTACTGGTTTTGCATCCAGCAAAGCAGATATAAATTGGAGTAAATCTGAAGCATATTTCTTAATAAGTTTAACTTTTCTAACTGCAGGCCCACCCATGGCATTTGCAGGGCCCAGAGCCAGAATGCAAATAGAAACTCACATATCAAATAACTAAATATTAAAACTTATAAATCAATCTACAAACTGTCAAATACTTAAGTTCCATCTTCCCACCTTGACAAATGCACTTTTATAACAACCTGGAAGGACAAGCTTAAACTTAGAATCCTAAGGCATATATGACTTTTTTGCTAGGATGTGGAGGCATTAGAAAGTCTAGCCCCCAGCCCCAGTGGACAGCTGGCCACCCTCTCTTCTCAACTCTGACTCCATTCATCACAACACATGTAGAAATGCCAGCCTGTACATTCACACTGCCACACCCCTGCAAACAGCCTTCCATTAAGCCTAGGGTTGAACAGGTGGGTTGTGTGTTCCAGCCCTGGAAGATAGGCCTGGAAAAGAGGCCCATGCAGGTCCAGGTGGCAGGGAATTCCAAGGTCCTGCATACCAAGTGTGTTCTAGAACAGTGCTTCAAACAAGCAGTCCAATAGTTTTTATTTCTGATCCTTCCTGAATTGATATTTTGGTAATGTGAAAGAAAAATGAAATTCCTAGAAAAAATGGTATAAAAACACAGATAAATACAGTCCCATTTTTTTTGATTATTAAATTTACCAGATGTCAAATTATTCTTCTAAATTGCTCTAGAAATTTTACGATTTTACTCCCAATTTCTGTACTTATCACATTGTGGGATAGAAACTAGTCTAGGATCTCAACGGGGAGGCAGGGGAGAGGCAGAGGCCCCAAGCAGGCAGGCACATCCCTGGGCAAGAGCTGGGCTAGCGAAAGATCAGAGCAGGGCCCAATATAGGAAAAGATTCACAGAAGGGGCCCATCTTGCCCCTTCAAAACAACATTACCTACATGGCATGGTACACTTTCAAGAACATATTTTAAAAGCCCGATTGTTCCTATTCAATTCTGATTGAACTTACTTGAGTCCTTTCTTTTCTATTTCTGGTTAATC